CTGCTGGGAAGTTCTGGGAGCTGTAATTTCTAGGTATCTAAAGGACATCCGTTTCGGGATGGTTGCTAGAATGCTATCATGACCAACAGGCACATTTCTAAATAACATCCAAGAGCAAGATTCGGTCTGTTTCAAGATATACCATATCATGGGCTACAACAACTGCACCAAAAACTTTATAGATGGCTCATATTTTTCCCCAGCATATTTAAATTTCATTAGATATCATCAAAAACTTGGAACTCTATAAAAAGCAATGTGTGAGTAGGGCCATACCCGAGACAGACCTGGAACATACTGAGATCTCAATGTCAGGTCAGTATCAGAAAATCTATTTCATTTACAATATTTATATGCCTCCTGATAATGAGACTTTTTAGATCAGTTGTGTCTTAAAGTTGCCAAGGTTGGACACCCCCTGCTTTAGATAGATAGTGAGAATAAAGTCAATAAAATGAACTCCCAAGTAATAACTATGTATTGGGGTGAATTTTAGAAGTTTTAGAAGAAATAGAGAGGTTGAGAAAACCAAAACAAGAAGCCTTTGTTGGTACTGTAGATGCCGCAGCACCAGGAAAAACCACTCAGGAGGAGATAATTCCTCCAGCAAAAAGGCCAGCTGCAATCTGCTAAAAAAGAGCCTTTCTCCTCTAGCTGTGCCCCTGGGAAGATGCAACTAACACTGCTCTTGTGGTAATTTTCAAAGTGTGTGACCCTTACAACCAAGCCTTTCTGAGGGAAACAACTGAGATTTTAAAAAGAAAACACACTGGAGAATGTAGGGATTCACCTTGACCATATTGTAACATGGAGATCTCAGCCACTCACGTGCGGATGTGAAATTCTTCAGTCTGCCACTCTGCCTCCAGTGTGTCCCAAAAGTTGTTTTGCAGAAGTTCATGGCCTCTTTTGTCCAAGAACAGGCAGGTCAGCTCGGCTGGTGAAACAAACAAGAGAAATGGTCCACCGGCAGGATCCCCAATCTCTCCTAATCCACTGCAATGCTCCAGATTAGATGGACAGCCAATCCTGATCTCTCTGGACCCCAAATCTGGTTTGTACTGCACCTAGTAGCCCTGAAGGCATTAGATGCCTGTACATCCATCAGCCCTCTATTTCAGGAGCATCAAGCAGGTTATACCCCTCACCAACAATTAAACAATAAAGAAGCTAGAGATGCTGGACAACCTGGGTATTTTATTAAGAATACTAAAATATCCGTCCCTCTCAATTCCTGGCAAATAGATGGGGAAGAAATGGAGGTAGTGACAGATTTTATCTTCCTGGGCTCCAAGATCACCACAGATGGGGACTGCAGCCAAGAAATTAAAAGACACTTGCTCCTGGGGAGGAAAGCTATGGCAAATCTAGACAGCATACTAAAAAGCAGAGACATCACCCTGCCAACAAAAGTACGTATAGTCAAGGCCATGGTTTTCCCAGTTGCAATGTATGGCTGTGAAAGTTGGACCATAAGAAAGGCTGAGCACAAAAGAATTGAGGCCTTTGAACTATGGTGCTGGAGAAGACTCCTGCGAGTCCCTTGGACTGCAAGGCGATCAAACCGGTCAGTCCTAGAGGAGATCAACCCTGACTGCTCTTTAGAAGGCCAGATCCTGAAGTTGAAACTCAAGTACTTTGGCCACCTAATGGGAAAGATGGAGGGAAATAGAAGAAGGGGACGACAGAGAATGAGGTGGCTGGATGGAGTCACTGAAGCAGTAGACGTGAGCTTAGACTCCAGAAGATGGTAGAGGACAGGAAGACCTGGAGGAACGTTGTCTATGGGGTTGCGATGGGCCGGACACGACTTCGCAACTAACAACAACTAGCAAACAAGGACAGTTTGATGATACTTGGAACTGGCTAATCAAGTTTCCTAGGACTAAAAGCATGGCTGGCTCAGGAATTCTGGAAGTTGAAGTCCATGGGTCATAAAAGAGCCAATGTTGCCTACCCCTGGTCTAGAGGATGTCCATAATCTCCTGGGCTAAAAGCTAATACTTTGCTACAAGAAGCACACAGTGTTGAGAATATGGGTTGCCACCGCAGGCTACATCTGAGCTTTTTCTCAAGCCCTATGCCTTCCCGCCTGGAAAACTGCTGAATGGGAGATCTGTTATTCAGCTTGGGCATGAGCTCCCATTTCCATACACCAAGCAGGTCGGACAGCCACCGTTGGGGTAACAGCATGCCTGCTGCACCAGCTGCCAACCAGCCAGCTGGCCAATTAAAGACTAAGCACCTGCTGGTGCCAGCAGCCAAAAGACCTCAGATTTGGGGGGACAGAGGCTTCTCTATCTTTCTGTCCCCCCCAATCTCTATTTCCTCTTTTTTTCTCCAAGTCACCCTCTGCCTCAGCTGCTTATGCACTAAGAAGAGCCATGTCAGCCTTCAAGGGGAGGGAAAAGAAAAATAACCCTTGAATACCTATTTAGGCTGAAATGAAAGAATTACTGCCTGCCAATGAGACAGCACCTTCCGCATATACAAGAGGCAACCTTTTCAAGCCGGCTTGAGAATAGGAATGGGCAGACTAAGAGCCTGCAATAATTATACTCTGAATTAGAAGGGCTGGCATCTAAATAACTCTCTGTAGTATGTGTGTCTGGGTGCATTTGAAGATCCAGAGGGGTGCCATATTCTTTATGTGACCTGGGGTCCAACCAGGTGGATGTATAGCACTGGGCTTTAAGCCTAGAGACATACATGTTCTCTGCTGGGGAAGCAGCATTCCCAAATTTTTTTATAATGTCTCAAGGGCGAAGGAAGGAAGCTCTGCATGAGCTGGAGAATATTGTTTGGTGGCAGATGAACAAATTTATCATAATGCCCTTCTGGTCATTGTTTTCTTAATTGTTACTCTGGTTTTCCCTCTTCCGAAATCTCAGATGTGCAGCTAGATGCTATAGAAAGCGAGGGGGATGTGTGTCAAAGATGCTTTGATTGAGTGCTGTTACTGAAGTAAAGTCTCCTTAAAATATACGATGTGCTCTCTCTCACAGGCGGGCCCTTCTGAGTCAGGACAGAAGCCCTCCGAGAAACCCCTCCGCCACTTCCTCACAATGGAAAGACATCGGGATGAAAATGTACTTCTGTATTTCTTTCTTTCCGTATGACCTTAGGCTGAGAACAGACGCCAAGGCTCAGAACACAACTCTTTTCTATTCGTGGATCCCTCCGACTCTCTCCCAACATTTCTTCTGCCAGTTGGAATAAAGGTTTAACACCAAGCAGTCTTCCAACCTCAGGCAAGGGTTATGCGAAGTATCCTATATATATATATCCATCCAAATTTCTTTTTTCTGACAAAGAGTAAAGAATTAAATTGGGAGACTAAGATGGACCATTTCTGGCTTTTTTGCCTTCATGAAGGCAAAAAAGCCAGAAATGGTCCATCTTAGTCTCCCAATTTAATTCTTTACTCTTTGTCAGAAAAAAGAAATTTGGATATAAAAATATTTCGCATCTTGAGTTTGGTGCACCCTGTCGGCCCAAATATGGGAGAAAGGAATCCATATATATATGGATTTTATATATATATATATATATATATATATATATATAGTCATTTTGTGGCATGGGTAAACTTTGACACCCCCACCCCTTTGAGATCACATGTTCAGAACCAACCCAGCTACCTCCGGATCCTCCTATGGAAAAATCTCCTATGCTGCACCCCGCATCTTAAGAACACCCTGCTCCCCATTTTCTTGCTCTCGCTCTCTCTCTCTCCCCCACCCATGCCTCTTATTAAAATGGTAGAGAGGGGGGTTCTTTCCTTAACCCTACTCCCCCCACCACCACCACCTCCCTCAGAACGGCCTGAAAGAAGATGGCAACATCTCCTCCCACCAGGGCTGTGGTTAAGGGTGGGATTGGTAAAACTCGCCCCCCCCCGCCCCTTTCCCGGGCTCCTTGGGCAGGGCACGTGCAACTCACCCCCGCCTGTGCTGGCGGCCCCCCCCTCCCCAATCAAGTGCAGAGTCAACTTTCTGCATTTGTCCCCCCCCTCCCTTCCTGTCAGGGCTCGGTGCATCTTGGGTTGCTGCTCCGAGAACCTGCTGCTCATCCTTCTTCTCCCGCTCAGCTCTCTCGCGCTCCGCTCCCCACCCCGAGGATTGCCTGTTTCTCTCTCTCTCTCTCTCTCTTTTTTTTTTTGGAGGGGGGGTGTCTTTCTTAAGGAGCAGCGCTCGGCCTCCCCACCTCTTTCCCTCCAACCTCTCTCCTTCTCTTTTCTCCCTCTGGCTCTCTCCAGTTTCTCTCCTCTCCTCCTCCCCGCTCTCAATGCTGGTGAAAGATCTCTCCCTTGAAACATGAAGGTCCTCAGCTGGGTACGGCTCGCCCTCAGCCAGTGGCTCGTGCGAGAGGTAAGGCGCGCGGGGAGGTCGGCCGGCGGGCGGGAGGGAGGACGACCGGCGGACGCGGGGAAAGCGCCGGGCGAGGGGGGGGGGGAAAGTCGGCATGGCCGGGGACGGCAGCCTCGCACCGGACCAAACTTGGCTCCGGAGGGCGGGAGGAAGAGGGAGCGGGGCGTCGAGAAGCCGGCAGCGCCCGGTTCGATGGGGCAACTGGCTCCCGCGGGGTGGATCGGGAGGGCGCCTTTGTCGGGAGCTTCCCCCGACGACTCTTTTCCTAACTTTGACTCGACTCTGGGCTGTTAAAAGAAGCGAACGGAGGAGACTCGACGCGTGTCTCCAAAGTTCGCGCTTGACGCTGGTGGCCCGGCTGGAACCCGGGGGGGGGGGCGACTCGCCGTGGCGGGACAAACCGAGTTGGATGGAGGGGGGGGGAAGCGTGGAAGAGTCCCGTTTCCTTCTCGCGGGGGGGGGCACAAACCGTCGAGGCAGCCGGCAACTCGCCTGCTTCACCACCACGATCAAAATGGGGCGGAGGGCCGCGATTGCCGAGGTGATAAAGAAACAAAAAAACAAAAACCAACCACCTTCTGGCGGGCGACGACGACGACGACGACCTGTCTGGCGACTCGCGAGACGCGAATGGCGTAAAAGACAGCCTGGCCTGCCCATTCGGATTTAATCTTCGCCTGCAGAGCGGCTAGGCGCGGGCAGATTGAGGTGGAAGCCCGGGACGAGACGCGCGTTCTCCCCTCGCGCCTCTTTGGCCGAAAGCAAAACACCCGCTCGGTCCCCTTCGAGCAGCTGATCGGCCCAGCCGAGGCCGCCAGCGCGACTTTTGCCCGCGTTCGTGCCCGGGACTTCTTAGTGGAGCAGCTGTCGGGTTCCGCTCGGGTCGGAATAGGATATAGCGTTACTTTTCGGGCCCCGCGGGTCCAACTGTTGAAGCTCGGCTGCGCCGTCACGTACTACTGGTTGTGTGTACAAACGCAGGCACGTGGCCGTGCACTTCCCGCTAGGTGTTGTGCGGCCGGGTTGATCCGTGCCTCATTGTAACGGTATGCGGGGTCGATACGTGGGAATGACATTTTTGGAGGTACTGTGGCTCGCTAATAGACAACGCGGTGGAGAGGCCACGCAAGCTAATAGCGGGGAGCCGTGTGTTGTCTACTTGTACGTGTGAGCCCGCCCACAGAAATCCCAATCGATGTATATATATATCCTTGGGAAGGGTTCCGTGGAAGTGCCACGCATCCAGCTATATGTGTAGGGAGGATTTCCTAGGCTGTATGGAACGGATCATTTGTAAGGCCGGATCCCCACCGCGATCCAAGACGTTTTTGTTTAAATTCCAATTCATCACTTTTTCAGAGCACAGCTTCGGGAGTAAGAAGGGGTGCAGCTTTTTTCCGAGGCCCTTTTCCTGGCCTTTCCCCAACCTTCTCAGATGCTAAGGGTTATTCCTGGCATCCAAATTAAACAGAGTAATTTTAAGGCAAAGCGTTGACCTTTTGTACCTGTTTTCACTAATTGTGAATTTAGTTCTACCAGTGTAAATACGGTCTCAGGTGTGGAGAAGCCTTTGATCCATTGTTGAGTCTCCCCCCAAGAGATTTTCCAGGCCAGCTTCCCTAGATTTCTGTAGGGAAGAATTTTGGCTAGGCAGACACAATGAAAATAGGGGTGTCCAAGGAGCTGGCTTCGTAAACCTCTTGCTGGCACAAAACCTGCCTGCCCCCCTCCTGATCTTATGGGCCACTGGCACCCATCTTCTGAAGCAATATGGCTGAAAAAGAAGATGCCCCCCCCAAAGCCCCCAATCATTTCCTTTATAACACACACCAGGGGCAATTGTGTTGCTGCAGACAATGTTTCCAGATTAGTTTGCTTATAAGACAGCACACCAAGTGTATTATAAATAGGTTAGCCTGGATTTTTTGATTTTTTTTTTGTTAAACCAAGGATATACTTGTCCCACTAACTATTAACCTGGAAGCTTGTGCCTCCAATTTATTCACTTAAGCTGAATAAAGAAGCATTTAATGCAAGTGATATTAAATAATTGCAGAGGCCTTTTTTACCCAGACATTTCACCTTTTTCTGCTACCATCCCCTTAGGCTTTGAATGTTTTTCTTCCTTCTACCAAATCAAGTGCCATGTTTTTTAAAAAAAGTCTTTTCTTTTTTTCTTTCTTTCTTTCTTTCTTTTTTAAAAAGCAAACTCTGTCTGGTGGCTTTTTTCTGGTGGCTTGGAACTTTATAACTTCCTTATTTCTTCTTAGAGCAAACAGTAGCTCCCAGAAAGGATCATAAAATTTTGATTCTTCTCTGCCTGCTGCATCCACAGCTGCCTGTGTGCAAAATAATTCTTTCACAGGTAAAATGGCATTGCCATTTTTAGTGCTTGCAAATCAGGAGTCGAAGCGCCTCAGCTTCATTTTTAATTTTTCTCTCTGTGTGTCTTATTTTTCTTTTTACGGCATTATAATGTTGCAGGGAGAAATAAGGAATGGGCTCATTAACCACTGGGCCGGTGAGAATCAGATTTCATAACAATCAATTTTTACTTTTCAACAATTTCATGAAGGCTGATCTGCTCCCCCCACCTCCCCCTCTCAAGGCATTGAATTCAGACTTCCAGGAGGTAAGAGATCTAACTAGGCTGAGGTTCTTTGGCTTATCCTGTTCTTTAAGGCAGGAAGAGGACAGGAGAAAATTCTTTGGAGGCTACCTCCAGCCTTTTTCATCAGCAAAAGAGGCTGCTTTTAAGATGGCAAAAACCTTTGTTTTAAACAGAGAATCAGTGATATAATTTTTTTTGCAAGGGGGGGGGAGTGGGAAAGGTGATAAAAGAAACTAAATCTGTGTTGGGTTTGAAAAAGAGATGTAGCTGCTAATGCAGATGTTTAGTATTTATTTAGTTGTTTTAGGATTTATTTATTTATTTATACCTTGCATTAAAAAAGAGCATCTAGGGAAAGCATAAATGAGATGCTTTTCAAACCACCTAGTGTGTGTCTGTGTAAAAACACACTATGAGCGCAGACATCCTCTCCCCCCCCTTTCCCCTCCTTCCCATGTACATCTAATTAAATTGGAAAATGGCTGGCAACTGGTTTTTATTTTAAACCAAGTTAAGAAATGTGAAAGCCCTGCCAGGTATTAAAACATTAGTGGATATGCTTGGTCTGCAAGACCTTTCTTAGTTGTAATCCTCAATCTAGGCTGCTTTATATTTTGATTATTTTTATTCAGACATTGTTTATTTCCTTTCTAGCTGCTACATTCTAAACCTCTGTATTTTTCCTGTCTTCCATACTTTTTGGGGGGAACAAATAAGTGTTCCCTATCCACAGTCCACCATGATGGTCTAGATCTAAGAAAAACAAGATGCTTTTATCTGAGGATACAGTTGCTGTTCAAACCCACTGGAACCCCATCTAACAACAAAGAAGGAAGAATGTAAACTCAATCTCATATTGTAGAATCTAAAATACAATGTGATCATGTGGAATCCAGTAGTTTCCACTCCATGCTCACAATCTAATCATGTTGACATCTCCTTTCAGTCCATGCAAGAAAAAGGTCAGCTTTTTAGTCTTCAGAAGGTAGTATCCATCCTTAAAACACTATATTAGCATCTACAGATTTCCTGTTAGTTAATAATTGTTGCTATTGATTTTCATTAAGCACAGAATTTCAAGTAACCACTTTTTTACAAAAAGTCTAGAACAACATTCATGGGAGGTGATGTCTTTCCTTAAGGCACATGAGATCATAATCGAACGCAGTCCAGTGAATTCAGAATTTGGGTTCTGGTTTCTGGATTTCTCCCTTCCTATTCAGTTCAAAATTTACAATTACGTTTATGTAGAGTTTGATCTGGATTTTGTTTAGTTTAGATTACCTAAATTTAGATTACCTACGAACGAGTCAGAATCAGTTTCATGCATTATAAATCTAGGAGGCTAACTTGTATTAGATTGGACTATATGGGCCACCATGGCGTGTCAGAATGTCAGCTTTTTCCATATCATTGCTACATTTTTTAAAACAAAAACGAGAGACACCAGCTTAGAATCTTTGGCATGCAAAGTGTGTTATCTACTATTGATCAGTAGTCACTCTGCTGGCTATATCTGTTGACTAATATAAAAGATAGGCCTTACTTTTTATTCCAGTGATGAACAAAGGCTAAATTTCATTAGTGATATTGCTCAAAAGAGATCATTTGCAAAAATCCAGATGACTTTCTAGGATTTATCTTCAGTCTCAAATAAGCCCCATAACAGTGCCTTGTTACAAGCATTCTGTTCTTTACCTGGCATAAAAGTGTATTGCTGAGAGGCTGTCTTTTACAGCCAGGGCAGATGGGTGCTAAGGGCAGTTACTAACAAGCGGGATGTCCATCCACTTTCCAAAGAGGGCAGCATCTTAGCGCAGGCACTACAAGGTGATTCTGCTTGAAGTGTTCTGACTCTGAGCCCAGGGTCCCATTGCCACCATGATCGGCCTTCAAGCTGAGATGAAATTGGTAGACCAACTGGCAATCATACGCTGAATAGAGGGAGTCAGGCAGTTTTAAAATATGAAATATAAACAAAAATAAAATGGGGGCATCTTCTGCTAATAAAACCTATAGGATTGGGTGCAATTTGTTTAGGTGAGGTTTACCTTATACCCAATTTGTTACTTATGGTACTTAATCAGGGAACCAACTTTTGGAAAGTTTCCAGCTATACTTATGCCCGCTGGTAGTTCAAAGAATGTTTGGGGCTGCCTTACTTCTCTTGTGGTTTTGCATCTTCAGTTGTTGTTGTTTTTTAACTTACCTTGATTTTGAGCAGATACTGTCAACAGATGTTTGCAGATTATGAGAGGCAGATCCAGAGCTTGTGGCTAATAAAATAAATTTAAAACACCCCAAACACTGCAAGGAGAAAGAAGCGTGCAGTTTTGCTTAGAATGCATACTTTGTAGGTGTAGTGGAGACTACCCAATTTTGAATTTACTTGCCCAGGCTGTACTATGGGGAGAGGATAATAGTGACTGAGTAAGTAAAGGCATTGGAAAGGGCACGATTAGAACATGTATGGCTGAAGATGCATCTGAGCACGGGACAAGATCTAGACTACCATGAGCCACATGTAACCATCTGATTTTTGAGCTTTTAGAAAAAAGCATTTGCTTTTGCATGATGGGGAAAAGTTATCTATGTTTGGAGGAAGGTTGTTTTTTTGGGCAAAATAAAGACACAGTTAAACTAAAAGCAAGCCAGTTTGGTTTAGTTAAGGTGCCAGGTTAGAAAGCAGAAAACTGTAAATTCTGGGCCTTAGGCATGAAAATCACCTGAGTTACTTTGGGTCAGCCACTTTCTCTCAGCCTAAGCCTCACAGGGTTTTGTTGTGTGGAAAATGGAGGAGGAAAAAGTATTAGGTATTTTTGCCACCTTGAGCTGTTTATAAAAATAATAAAGGTAGGATAAAAAAAAACCTTAAAAAGAAAAAAACACTCCAGAACTCTAGAAAACTGAGTTTTATACCTGTAGTGAAGCCATTTTCTGAAATCTGTCCTCGTATATTAATTCAACATTATGAGACAGTGTTATAAGAGAACTGTCTTAAGAAAAACAAAACAAAACAAGTCAGGTTAAACCAGAGACAATTGCAACTGGTACATTACTTTGATTCTGATACACCAAGTCCTTTTTTCCTTCCTCCTTCTTGAATCCAGCTTCGCTTCCTGTGACCCCCTTCCTCCTGTAATCACATTTAAGTGTTGAAGGTGTGATGGACTGAGACACTCTGGCGTGGCTGGGAAGAATGAGTAAGCTCTTGTCTCAATTGCGTGGAAAGCGCCTTCGTGTTACAATTTGAATCTGCACCAAAGCAGAC